AACTTGTTAAATATTGAAGTAAAATATTTCACTTTTGAAATTGTAGGTAGTAGCCTTCAGTTGTTCTTGATCAACGTTTTTCTCTTACAGGCATGGCGGGATGGTCGTGGGGCCAATCAAAATGTCATTCCTGCTTCAACAGGAGCTGCCAAGGCTGTGGGTAAAGTTATTCCAGAATTAAATGGGCAAGTATCTTTTTCTATTAGAAGTAAACAATTCTTTGAAATACAAACTTAAAATTCCATAAGGACTGAATCTTTAAGTGTTAAATTTTCTATATTGTACCCCCCCCCCCACCACACACACACACACTCCCCATATTTATATGCTAGTAATTCTGAAGCTTTGAGCTAAAAAACGTTTTGAAATGATTAGGATATGTCATGTATATTTTTGCAGTGCACTTTATTAAGTAGGTCAATTACTGATGACAAATCTTATAAATTACAGTATTCTTGTTACAGATATAAATAGATAGATAACTAAAGTAATCTAATATTATTGGAAATATTCAGTTTTGTCCTTTTTATCTGAGTGAGTTAGCCTTATGTTTAGTCCAAAGATTATTTGATTACTATAAACCATCATTTTGTGATGTAAATTGAAGTTAAGTTGTTTTATCATTTACTGCTGTTAACTTTTTTTAAAAGTACATGTTCTACAGGACAAATGTTTTTGTACGTGGTAACAAGTCTAGTTTCATTTATTTGAAGAACATGAAAAATAAAATCATGATAAACTAATAACTTAGTACCACTGCTTATTTAGCAAACTGACTGGCATGGCTTTCCGTGTCCCTGTTTCCGATGTCTCTGTTGTGGATCTGACTTGTCGGCTTGCTAAGGAAGCCTCTTACGATGAAATTAAAGCTGCAGTAAAAGCTGCTTCTGAAAGTGACCAGTGGAAAGGGATCTTGGGATACACAGAAGATTCAGTATGAAAATTGTTAATATCTGTTTTGTAAATTCTTAAACTGTTTCTATTTAAATTTTCCATAATGTTAGATGGAATTGAAAGAAATATTAGCTAAAATACATTAGTTATATACAAGTGTAAATTAAACTGTATTACCTTTTTGTATTTTTATAACTAATCTGGTTATTAATGTATAAATAACTTGTGTGGTTACTAACTTTAAACTTCTGTCTTCAGGTTGTGTCATCAGATTTTATAGGCGATTCTCACAGCAGCATATTTGATGCTGCAGCAGGTATTTCACTGAACAAAAACTTTGTGAAGCTGATTTCATGGTAGGTTTTATTCTTGTGTATACTTGTTTATAAGGTGAATGCTAAAATTACACTTGCAGTTCTAAATACTTGAAGATTTGTCTTTAATAAAACTCAGATGCACTTTATTTTTAAAAATGTTCTTTGCTAAATTGCAACTAGATTGACAGTAATGTTGGTTGTACATCTAATCTTAGTTAACTTCACGTTGTTACCTACTTTGCATTCACCTCTCTTTAACACAAGTAAGGAATATTGTTCACTCGCATTTCACCTGCATCATGTTTTAAATGAAACTAGGTACATTCTTTGTTCTGATTACTGACTTAAAGAATGTTAAATCTTATGGATGTTACACATTTTTAGCTTATTAATGATGCTAGATACTTCTCTAGTAGCTCACTTCACATTACTAATATATTGGTTGTTTTGTAAGATGTCCAATAATAAATAAATAAATAAAAAAAATAAAAAATCTAATTACACACAAGTCCATGACAGTGTTTTGAAGAATTTTACTTCAGTAAAAATGTTAAAAATTTAAGCAAATGCACATCTTAATTGTAATCCATATTAACTAATGAACTTCACTTGTAACAAGAGAAAAAAGTGAGATAAAGCAATTATACAGATGAACTCATTAAAGAACGTAAACTAATCTAACCTCAAATTAAAAGTATGCATTTATATATGTAATGAGTTAAAACATTCTGTAAGTTTCTACCCATGACACTGTTTCAAGTAACTCAGATCTTACATTATTAGGTATGATAACGAGTATGGCTACAGCTGTAGAGTAGCTGATCTAATTACTTATATACACAGCAGGGCATAAAACCTTGGTGGTCCTTCATCTGCCAAAGTGGAGGAGTCCTCTTAAGCTGATAAACTATCACTTGCTTCTGGTTGCTGATTTAATGATTCATCGTAACTTAATATAAAACTATCTTCCACATACTGGTACTTTATCTTGGCTGTTAGTAATTTTAGAGAAATGAGAAACTATTTTCCATTTTATCTGAAAACGTTGTTGTTGTTGTGCTAGTCGAAAAATAACTTTCAGTTCACTACAAATTTATTTCACTTGAGTATTCTTGTCATAGTCATGTTTTTGAAGATTTATAGAAGATTAACTCTATACTAGAAGAATGTATAGTTGGAAGTGAATAAAGTTACAAACCACACAATCATTGATTTTATTTCCTTAATAAGTATCAACACTTCTGTTTCAGAAGTTCTCAATGAAATTACTTTTAGGGGGAGGGAAGTTGTGCAGTTGAAAATCATATTTTACTTTTTCCAAAGCATACACTTAATTCTTACAATGGTGCTGAAAAAGTGAAAATAATTTAAATATAAAAGCAAAGGCTAGTAAAGAATACTTTAACTCCTTGATGAGAAGCTTGCTTAGCATGAGAAACACTGATTAGGGCAATATTCCAAGTAAAGACTTTAACAGTAGTGTATAAGCAATATCTGGTACTGTTAAAATGGTAGGAAAGCAATACCCATTATAAAGTTGAACGGTGGTATATCTCAATTGTATCTAATATCGACATTTAGTAAATGAAGTTAAACGACATTTTCTGTCCATTCCTTTTCCTTATTTCATAAATGTATGTATTCAGATTAAGAAACGGCAAGTAACTGGTGAAACACTTCCTACAAGTATGGAGAATGTATTTTGTCATGTCAGACAAACGACTTAAGGTCACTCTTACAGTGAGACTTTTAATGTTAGAGGCCAACATTTGCAGGTGAATGCAAAATGTCTCCGCCACACAACCCCATCATGGCCAGTTTTGACACCATATATATAATAAATAAATAAATAAATAAATAAATAAAAAAAAAAAAAAACCTAATCACTGCTTGGGACCTGCTAGAAGGTATCTCCGTACCAAATCCTATGTAAGTTGGTTGACATACACGTGAAAACTCAAACAAACCATCTCATGCTAAAAGAAATCTTGGGCCCACTCTCATTATTCAGCTACATTTGCAACTATCTTGAATGCCAGGTATAAACTGTTGAATCAATGGAAACTTTTCAACACACCTAGACATTCATCTGTTCATGGGAAAGGAAAGGAATCAATGTGAGTTGCCATTTTAAACTGTAAAATCAACAGAACTTTTGCACACCTTTCTGACAAGCACCACTGAAGATTACCATGCACTCTGAAATGTGTATGATCCTGTCTTTTAACAATTGCTGTATTTCAGTGCTGGCTAAACCCCTAGTGCTCCAGGGAAACCACAATGGGGTTGCTTTATCAGATGTGCATTGCCTTGATCTATGTAATTGTGAGTGATTGTTATTCGACTACATTGAGTATCTAAACCCACAAATACATTGGCATATTCAATCAAATTTTGTTGTGTTGGATTCAAATTGTCAGATGTGTCAGCAACTATGTACAGTACTGTCTCATTATAGTGCTACCATCGGGAGCCATGTGCATCCAAGAGCAATATAGGTTATAACCAACTAGTCAAGAAGGCACCCATGTTGAACAAGTAACTATTCAACAGACTACTAAATAAAATAACAGCTCTAACTGGTAACTTTATCTACTAGTCTAATAGCCATTCTTAGCTGGTGTTCGATGATGTTGACCAGAGCAGTGATTCTGTTAGCCTGGTTGGTGGCTGCCTTAATGTCATGAAAAGACCACCACATATGGTCTCAGAATTACCAGATGCTATTCCACCTCAGTGACCATCAGTTTTCCATGATTCCCTTGCACTGAGATTGATTCTCAGTGATAATGCCCAATCCGCCATTCTGAGGTAAACTGATTTTTACAAAGAATATTAAGTAGGTTCACGTTATTAAAGGAAGGATCAGCAGGATAAATCATGAATTTAACTGAACTGAATGAGTTTAATAAAAAAAAACGTTGACAGACTAGACATGTTGTGAAATATAAAATGAAAACAATTTTTATTTATTCACAAGGACTAAACTCTATGTCAATATTTGCATTGGACACTGAATGGTCGCCTTTCACTGGGCTCTGGAATTAATTAACTGGATTTCTTTCCTCAAGATGTCTTTACATCAACCAACTAACTTGAGATCTTGTGTAGTACTGTTTATATCTAACATTTCTAACTTAATGGAAAATGTCTGATTTACCCATAGGGACTAGTGCTACCAGGTTACTGATCATTCTAATTCAATATATGGGATGCCATAAGCTCAACACAGCGAAAGACACTGCTGTTATCAACATTATTGCACAATGAGTAACATTACAGCAAACTCACCATTGACAGAACAGGTATTATCTCTGAAGAATAACAAAGGAATTTAGAATGAAGTCGACTCGACGACTCTCTGGATGACATGTTATGTGACAACTACAGACTTTGAGAAATTTTACATTAAAATCAGAAGGTAGAAAATGCATAATATGCCTGCATGACACATACATACTTACAAAGTACACTATCTTTTAAATGTTATTTCATGGTCTTACACTTGTTTACCAATTTTACCATTTTTAATTTTAATTTTTATTATGCTTCATGTGAAATTTTGAACACGGCCACAACTAACTTATGAATTAAAGACCAGATATTTAGGATTTAGTTTTTCTTCTGTGTAAAGTATATACCCTGAGCTTCATTTGCTTTCCTTCAGCAGTAGTGACCAGGAATCCCAATCACAAGGAACCTCAAAAACTTTTAATGTTATGTGTTATGGCATTGTTGTTTTTGGCTAATTATGTACTTAATATTTTTCAATACATTGTTCGTTTTACATTTTCTATAAAACCGAACTACGATTTAAGTCACAGAGCCTACCCCTTTCAATGAGGTTGGAGTTAGCATTATAAATACTAGGTTTTTGCTCTTAAATCTCACTTTATTGGACTTTTGAAATAAAAGAAAATAAATTTCTGTGACTTAGGGGTATTGTGTCCCCTTTTATTCTCTGTGTGGGTGGGAACTTGAAAACGTACCTGTTTTTTATTTCACATTATTGATAGAGTTGAGTCATATAAATCTAATCGATTTCTTCCGTACCTAGACTAAATTAAAGAGTCACGGAACCTGGAGCCATAAAGATCGTGGTTGTTAATATAATTATAGGAGTAAATTCCTAAAAGATTGTAACCATTTTCTGTAGTGTTCATACATGCAGAAAAATAATAAAGAACAAATATAATAATGTTGCAATTAAAGCATAAACCAGCTGCTTAATATTCTTCGCTTCCAATAACAACATCAATGTAGCATAAAAATCAACAATGTGTTTAAGTGCTTTTCCGAGGCTAATGTAACAGTTGGCATACACTCAGGTAGAATCACGGGACTCAGATAATCATGTTACAAAACTAAATGTATAATGGGAAATTAATGTGAAAATACAATTATTTTATGCTTGCCTTCAAAAGCAGAAAACATATCATACCAAAATATTTTTGAAACATTTCTTCTCCCCTTGTTTTAATTTTTTTAAGCTTTCCAAATATATATATTATATATGGATTATTCCAACTTGTGAGCCCTGCATGGGACATTATGGCCTATCATCCTCGTGGATAACATGGTCTTAGTCATGTTTGTACCACATATATATTATACACTTGGTTACTCCAGCTTTGTAGCTAGCCCTCCATAAGGCATTATGGCCTATTGGCTTCGTAGTTAGCATTCCCTTGTCCATGTTCGTAGTGTTGTAAAGGTATTTGTTCGTTGGCTGGTTCATTTAAATCATCAGCTGAAAACAATTCAACGTCCCGTTCACATAACAATAATAAACTAGGTTTGTTTCCTCCTTTTACAGGCATGTACAATTTGTAACTTAATATAGAGGTTCGTTTATAACCACGCTATCTACACTATACTAACGTAAAAATCAGCTTACTTGTACAAGGTAATTTAGTATTGTCGATAGCTAACACAGACCCAAAGACGTAAACACACTGACTAATTCAATCTACTGGCTAGAAAACAACTCTCTAGCTTTCGGTGCTTCAATGCTAACCTATTTTACATTATTGACTGTCTAAGCCATATCTATATCTAATCCTTGTTTTAGAAAGTTCGCAAAGTCTATAGGTTTTCGTGACATTAATTTAGAATATTCCACGTCTTACCTGAATTTGTCGTCAAGCTCCATCTAGTTAACGTCTGAATTACAACATAAAAATATATCGTATAACAGTACTAACTAACAGATTATATATCGCTTACACCGGCTTTGGAGCTCTGCATGGGATATAATTGTCTATTGGCCCTGGTAATATGGTCTTGTACCTTTTTGCATTAACACACAGACACACACACACACATATATATATGTATGTATGTGTATATATATATATATACATATACACATTAATTGTGTGTGTTACTCCAGCTTGGAAGCCCTGCATGGAGCATTATGGCCTATATGGCTCGTGTCTAACACGGCCTCAGCCATGTTTGTATTAACACATCAAGACACGCAGAGTGTGTTATTAACAGGAGTGATAGTTTAACAATTTTCCACCTTCTGTATCTCGGACTATGGTAATCCAAACTATCATATTATTACGCCTCCAGTCGTTAGTTAATTTTCCGTAAATTCGTTCCGACGAAACTTTAGCGATACAAGTCCTTTCATAAATAAAACTGGTTTATTCTTTCCGAATACAACTTTACGATACACTTAATTTCAACAGTCGCTCTATAACAAACACTATAATTCATGTCTCACGTGGCCAACAATATTTTGTCCGCATACATTCAATTACTCATTAACTCCCCGTCGCTTCGTGGCCGGTCTTATATATACAAGACTATGCTATATCTAGAAAGATCACGAGATTTAAGGAAAAGACATGAAAGTTCGAGAATGACGTGGCGTGATACTAGTCACGTGACTTCGATGTCGTAACAATATGTTTTCAGTGGATGTGCTCTACTGGCAATCCATAAAGAAATACCTGAGATATATCATCTCCAATTTGATTGAATTTCTTCCTGTTTTTTTTCTTCTTCTTCTTTGCATCAAAAATACGGAAACTTTATTTGATAGAAAAACATGCTTAACTTTTATGGATTTTTTTCAAATTTAGTACACTTATAGATCTTTTCAACCTACAATTAGGAGTCTCATTTGGTGTAAATATAATCCACATTTAACAAAAACCGTTCAAATTTGACGAAAATATTTGCGCACGCCTATACA